CTATACATTTACTGTTACTGAAGGTTTATTCCCATTGTACCTACTGTAGATAACTTTAGTGAACATTCAAGTACTTTTTTCTCTTCTATAGCTGAGTTAACTGGGAATTTCCTCAAGCGTGAGTGGCTTAGACCTGATGGTGAAAGGGAAAGTGGTGCGAAATATAATGAGGCCTTACAGTTCTTGCTAAGGTAAGACATTCACATCGTTTGCTAATACCTAATGGATGCCAGAATTGGTAGAAAAGGAAATAAGGTGGGGTACATGTAGGTGGGTAAAGTTTGTACTTGAGCTAAGAAGCCCACTCAGCTGGAGCTCATCCCAGTTTCTGTTGCATGAAGGGACTAGAGTACCAGTGCTACCACTCCCTCATGCAGGGTTTGTACAGGTTATGGAAAACCTGGAAAGTCATAGAATTTCAAAATTTCATTTTCCAGGCCTGGAAAGTCATGAAATTTAGGTGTGGGTCATGGAAAGTCATGGAAAAACAGTATGCTCTCTATAAGTGAAAGGCAATAAGACCTAAAGTTAAAAAGTTAACTGACGAGTCCAAAAATCAGATTTAATTTCATTAGAATTAAACAGAAGCATGCATTGTGAGAATGTTTGCAAACAGTGCATGGAATCTTTCAAAAGGTCATGGAAAAAGTCATGTAAAGTGGTGGAATTTTAACAGGTCAAAAGTGTACGAACCCTGTCCTGAATGGGATGCTAGTTCATTGAAGGTTACTCACCTCCCTTACCCCACCCCCCTCCCCAAGGTAATGCAGCAACTAGGGGTGTTACTCTTTCCCCCATGGATGGGATGCTAGTCCATCGCAGGTTACATACACACATGCATACATACATACATCCTTTATTTGGTAAAGCAGGTTGAGGAAATGGCAGCTAATGCTGATGTGAACCTGCTATCTGTTACTCACTGCCTTACCCCACCCCCATCCCTATGTAGAAAATGGGAGTATTACTGCTTCCCCCCTGGATGGGATGCTAGTCTATGGAAGGTTAATGAGTTAGTGAGAGAATGACCATTTTTATTACTGAATGCTCCTTAGGTTTCATCTATCTTGTGCAGAGGACACCCTTGTCACAATAGAGGAGGTGGCAGGTGGGGCAGTGACAGAACTCATTGAAAGTGAGGACAAGAATGCAGCCTCCACCACATATCAAACTCTTACAAGGTGATAAATGCAACTTAACAGAAGTTAAGTCAAAAATTGTAATATTCCTCTACAACTTGGTCTTTGAAACTGAGAAAAAAAGAAACCATGAGCACCAGAAACATGTTCCAAATTTTGTGTTAAAACCAACCACATTTGGTGATTAGGATATGCATGCTTCTACAAAACTGCATACCAGTGAATGTCATTGTGAACATTTAAGATTGTACCAGATTGGTCTTTTTTTCACAGCATGATAACATTCCAGGCTCCGGTTGTTCAAAGGGCAGATAATGCTATCCAACGGATAAATGGCTATCCAGCGGATAAGTGTTACCAAAATGTACTACGCTATCCACCGGATAGAGATTTATCCAGTGTATAGCGTTATCCATCCTTCGAACAACTGGGGCCAGATGTACATCTATTACCAATGTTCACAGTTTTCTGAGCTTTACAGTTGAAATGTGTCCCCTTAAATGGCTTATTTTTCTCCATTGCTCACTATTTTTCTATTTATTTTTGTTTGGCTAGATCATCTTTGCCTTGTTACTACCGTGCAATGATGGAAGAGTTGATTGGACACCTCAAACAAACTCATTCCGTGCCACTCAAAAAAACTGACTCTCCAGAGGTAAATATTAATATATTCTGAAGTTGAAGTTCAAGATGTGAGTGTTATGCTATAATTTTTGTTTGTTTGTTTGTTGGTTGGCTTTTTGGGAGGGTAGGAGGGTGGCATTGTTTAATTGTGACTGAAACCTCTGTTTTACTGAGGGATTGGGCTAAATCTTAGTGGTAGTAGCATTTAATCTATATTCTTTTTTAATTTGTTTTGTGGTTAGATCCTCTAATTGTAGACAATAAGTGGACCTTAAAAGAAGTGCTTTTGAGAACTGAAAATTTTTTTTTTTGTCCCTTTAGTCCCATAATGAGAGGCTGGTGAAACTGAATATTTCTGTGAGACTTTTCCACATTCTTATAAATCTAGTTAAGGTGAGCTACAGATATTGGTTGAATATTATTTTGCAGAAAAGGCATTCTCAGTATTTGCTGATGACAAAAAAAAAAAGGCATTTTAGTAGTGAAGAGAAAATGCACCAGTCACAGTCATTGAATAGCACCTGATTACAACATAATGCTTGATGACTTGAACTGTTGAAAGCCAACATCCACCTGAAGAAGACAAGTAGTATGCAGTTGAAATGCATCTACCCACATCAGTAGTAACCACACTGAGAGACAAATGGTTCTTATTATTATAATTTATGGTTTGTTGGCTTATCTTGATGAACACTCAAAACCCTAGAGCAACACCTTCTCATGCCAATTGATGATGCTATACTGAGAGAGGTTTTTTTTTTTTCTTAATGTTGGACAGGCTTTTGATCAAAGATCTATGATTGGAGCATCTTTGAAGGTACAATGAACTTACTAGTACAATTTTTCCATCTAAATTTTACACATAACTGTTGAAAATCACAGCATGTTGCATTTTTCTTACACCTTCCTGTCTTAGAGGGTTTAACTGAACTAGTATTGAGGACAGTTCATTTTGCAGTTTAAGACATATACCTGCCATTTTAAAATGTTACTTTTCATGACATTTTCTTAAATGTGTGCTGTTCGAGATACGGTAACAAAATGAACTTTTCCCCCCTCTTTTGTCCCTTGCTCTAAGGAGGACTGCTTCTTCGCTTTGACACAATGTTTTTCCATGTTTTTCCCACCAAGAATTAGAGTGAAAATCAATTATCTTTGTATTGTCGGTGAGGTTACTTCTAGATTTAAGAGTGTAGTTCTGGGCCCAGTTGTATAAAGGGCGAATAATGCTATTAAGTGGATAAGTTGCCATACAGCAAATAAAGGACTGTTAAACATACTGCTCTATCCACCAGAAGGAGATTTATCTAGTGGATTGTGTTATCTAACCTTCAAACAACTGGGGCCTGGTCTGTAAAAGCCACAGTATTCCTCCCTTTAAAGCTTCATAACTTCTATACATTTACTGTTACTGAAGGTTTATAGATGAATTAGTCTGCTTGAGAACACTAAACGTACCCTTGCTGCATTGAAGCACACGAGAACTGGAAATCTGTGTCACTTTTTCTTCCCATAAAGTCTACTCCACCTGTATTGTCATACTCAAAAGTTTTATCCTCTTTTATTTTCTCTTGAAGTTTGGACGTTTGTTTGTGGACACATTCCTTAAGTTGGGGATGCCAGTTCTGGATTCTATGTTGAGGACACATAAGGTTTGTTAAATGAACTAATGGCAAAGAACCCCCTACCTCCAAAGCCCTTCCCATGCACAATATTTAAGTAGTTAGTTAAACACTTGACATCCTTTGTTTTCAGTACACTATTGACTAACACTGGTGTCTGGAGTTTTCACAAGTTACTTGCTGCTCAAGTGCTGGCTACTTAATACAAACAGTTGAAGACCTGTCTTGATCTGAAATCAATTTTAACCTTTACTTTATTTTGTTGTGCCCTAAAATGATTGATTGAGGCAGGAAAGAAAACAGTTAGTAAAAGCAGAGGGGATAGATCCGGTCAAAATTATTGTTTAAGTTTTTTGGAAGAAAAATGTGAGACTTCATTTTTTGACTCACCTACTGTACCTATTTCCTCCCAAAAGGATGACATTAATGGAATGTTGAAAAACTTGCAACAGAGCACAAGATCTCTTCAACATATCTGTGGACACAGCAAGGTCAGTTTTGCACCAGACATAAGCTCTATGCGACACAGCTTTTCCATACACCACCACCACTACCACTAGCACCTCTTGTTTTATCTGATGATACTATTTCTCTTTGTATTAGGTAACAAAAGATCTCTCCCTCACTAATCATGTCCCAGCAGTCAAAAAGTGTCTGGAGACGTTTGTCTTCAGAGTCAAGGTACATATATTTTAGTTTGCTAACATTTGAAATCACAACCTTCTAACCCTTCAGTATTGGGTGGGAACCTTCTCTTGTAGGCAGTCATTGCCAGTGTCTTCTTTTCAGTCAATATGTTCTTCATTTGAACCCTGGGTGGATCATGTTATTGTGTTCTTGGGTAGGACACTTTTCTTAGACAGTGCTTCTCTACACCCAGGAACATAAATGGCAGGGGTTTCATTAATGTTTTCAGCAGATGGGCAACTGGTTTTCACAGGCAGGCAAAACCTTTTGAACTGAACGTCATTCTAGGATAAACTTTCCTCTAGATGGTCAAACCAGGCAGGCAAATGCATCCTCACAGCCAGTAAATTTGCCTGGTGCCCAGTCCTTTATGAAACCCCTAAAATGGGTACCAGCAATCTGATAGAGAAACCCAACAAAATGCCAGAAGGTAGCCTGCATTAGACAGTAGTCCTACTCAGAGTCATAGCATGCATACAGTTCTCCTAGGGACCTTATCCTGGGGACCCTATCCTGGGGACCTTATCCTGCGGAAGCAAGGTTGTGAGTCTTCCTGTAGTCAGACACTAGATCTGAGATTTACAGAAAGTTAGTTGTGTGAAGGGAGTGAATGTTTTAGGTCAAATGCTCATATTTCTGTAAATGATTGACTTTAGCTTTTCTATTATTTTGCTTGGTTTGTAGGCAATGCTTACACTAAACAAATGTCACGAGGCGTTCTGGGTTGGGACACTTAAGAACAGAGACATACATGGTCAAGAGATCATGTCGCAGCAGTCTGCCGCAGAAGAACCTGCAGAAGAGGAGGAGGAAAATGAAGAAATGGAGGATGATGATGATGATGACGATGATGCCGACAAAGACAATGTAAGTTCACTTTCATGATTCAGTTTCTGTGACACACAGGAAACCAAAATCACCAGAACTATTTATGGAATGTTTTGGATTTCTGAGGTGGAAGTCCAGTCAGGTGTGGGAAAATGTAATTATGTAGTTTTGAAGTTTGCTCACTTGTCCTGTCTTCGATCAGTGAGAGACGTGAAGACCCAATACTTAGAGTGCTGGGCTCTGGGTCGAGGAGTTGGGGTTCAGAACTTGAAGGGTCATTGTGAGTACCATGTTCTCTTCTCTTACAATGACTTGTCTTTATTTTTAGGGAGATGAAGATGCGAGTAATGATGGAGAATCTAAACATGAGGGTGGGGAGTCGTACAGTGAAAGTTTCTAATCATGATTAGCATTATGATAAATGTTGGAAACTCTTGTTTCAAGCTTCTGTCATGGTTTGAAAAAAATTGTTACAGTAGTGTTTGGATTAAGTGTGTGTAGCTTATCAATCTTAGCCAGAATCCCAAGAGAACTACAGAGGTCAAGTCCAAAACTCTCTACATAAAGACAGCTTGTATGGTTGGAAGCTCAGTTTGTATAGTGAAAAGAAAGCCAGGCTTCAATGACTTTTTTGTTAATAAAATTCAAATTGGTAGAACATATTGAGCAAGGCTGTGGTGTAGCAGCGCCCAGTGGCTCCTGGTGCCTCGCTTTTACTCTTGGGCAACTCAGGAATCTTAGTTCTTTCATAAAAAGCATAATGCTGCGAACCCTGGGTTTCACAGTTTCAGAGCACTGGGCTCCCTTCAATTTTTCTTAGAGCACAGCCTTGCTGAGGAAAGAGAATTCTGAAACAAAAAATATTGCACAATGCATGAGCCCAATTTGTTGAAGAAACAAATAGAGACAGTTGAGCCTACACTGTCATGCATAACTGAACCAAAACATACATTCCTCCTTTTCCCTGATTCAGTCTTAATACATTCATAGACACAGTAGCAGGGTTTCCTTAGAAACTTATCCCCTTTATTGAACCTTGAATAAATAGACTATTCTAGGGCAATATGTCTTTCCTTGTTGCTACATTGACTGCCATCAAGGCATTACATTTTTGCATATCATCTAAATGGTAACTCCCAGCCATCTGTATATCTCTTGTTATTACATGACTCAGGCAGTCAGAGGGCCAATAACTAAAATCAACCAATCAAAATGCTCTATTGCCGGTCAATATTCTCTCAGTATTGGACCGGGCACTATCCCAAATGGTCCCGAATGATACCGCACTTGTGTCCCTTTGAACTTCAGTCATATAATAAATCTCTTATTAACCAAGCTTGCTCTTGACCGTACTGGAAGGATATCGGCGCTTGGTCTGTACTGTCAAGATCTCAGGCCGATATTCTCCCAGTATGGCCCTCGCACTTGGTTAATAAGATATATTTATTAAATAGGAGGCACATTTAAAAGAGAGATCTTGCTACAGCCTCAGATCAAACCACAACGGCTGATATCTCTTGGTGCTATTGAAAAGCTAGTGAAAAAATTTATTCAGGAGCCTTTTTCTTGTGTCCATATCACTGATATCTGCATATTATCTTGAGTGCATCCTATTCCATTCCACACAGTCTGCATATCTGACTCCTTTTCCACCAAACAAATCCAGAGCACTGTTAATATAAAAAATACAGGGTAATACAAGAACTCCAAACAATTATGTACTTTGAGAAAGAAATCAATTGATTAACCATTTAAACCTTTTTTTTTTTTTTTTACTGACAAGACCTTCAGTTGTCAATGGATTCCTTTAATCTCTCAGGAGTTTAAAAGGGCTAAACCCCAAAGAAGACATTAGTCTGACACAGGATGTTAAAAATCCTATCTCCTCCATTTCAGACAAGCCAACTTTTCAAGTCTTAAAGAGAAAGCTGAATTACAGATTTTTCTCCCTAAATCTGCAAACAATTTGACTGTAAGGCCTCACAAAGTGGAGAAAAGAAATATTTTATTCACCTTCCAAAAGTCAAGTCCACCTTTCCATCTGACAGTTTGTTCACCAATTCCAAATCACTGATGTCTATGGAGGTGAAATCAATAATTTATTTAAGAGGTTTTGTGATGGACAGTATAAGATAATCATACTTGAGTTTTTGCCACAAGGGCACAATTCCAAAGCAAAGAATATTCAATACCTGTAGACAAATGGCCTGTTTCTTTTTTTGTTTTTCATAAATATGATTGTAAAATCAAGACTACAACTGATCATGGGTGGCATTGGAAGACAGTATTCCCTCTTCCCCCCTTTTCCCATACATCCTCATTTCTTTCATGGCAATCCATGAGCTTTCGGTGCCCTTTATTTTAGGTTTCTGTGTCTGCCCCTGCCGATGCGAATTCCCTCTATCAAGTTCAAATTTTCAAACCTTTTCCACCTCCGGCATAAGTGCAAGGTATTGGACACCACTGACCAAGAGCTAGAGGGAAAAATGAAAAGAACTGAACAATGATGACAGACTGCATGCCAAAAGAATAAGTCTCCAAGCAAGTCATTGACTTTGAATTCCCCATATTTTACAACAAAAAATATTTTTACCTTGAACGAGATCTTCATCTATTCCTTTGCAAAGGCCCTTCAGGAGAGAGATCAGAAGGAATTAACTTGCATAATTTCATGTTTGGGTTGGACAAGAAAACTTGTGTCATTGTTGATGACGGCTGATTTTTAAGATTAATTTTTCTCATTAAACCTCTATGCCCTAAAATCAAAATATAAGTTTTTAATGCTGTTCTTTTTAATTTACATACCAGGTGAATTTGTCTGACAATAAAGAGCTTCTCTAGTTGGTGATCATTTCCTCAATTCTCATGATCATGAAGTTTCATTCAGGAGAATTCTCATGGGGAGAAATGAGATTTTCATACTAGTCACTCTTTGGGGTCCAAGGGAGCAGTTTATTAGATACTGTAACCTTTCCTTTATTCCTTATGTGAATTACTGAGAGCGAAAATTGTCAAAACTGGGTGCCATTACCGCCAATATTCAGCTACTGTTTTTTTTTTTAATAAAATGGTGCTTAAGATAGGAAGCCAATTATGTTTTATGCAGGTAATCATTCTATAAAATGGTGCCTTAAGAAATATGGAGCACTTTTTATGAAGCCTTTTTTATAAAACATAATTGGCTTCATAAAAAGTGCTCCATATCTTTTAAGGCACCATTTTATAAAATGATTAGCTGCATAAAACATAATTGGCTGCATAAAAAGTGCTCCATATTTCTTAAGGCACCATTTAATAAAATGATTAGCTGCATAAAACATGATTGGCTTCATATCTTAAACACCATTTTATAAAAAAACAGTAGCTGAATATTGGCAGCAATGGCACTCCATACAAAACAACCACCCTCACCTCTACATCAGCAGCATGTATGAGGAATTCTGATGCAAACTGAGACAATTCATGTAATATTTCTATAAATTAAAATCCAAAACAAGATATCAGTGGGCTGTGAACTGAGGTGAACTGTTTCATGTGATCTTGTATACCATTCCAGAAAAAAAGTCTTTGGGATAATTGAGATGTTAAAAAAAAAAAAGTGATCAAGTGTAAAACATCTTCAATCAGTGGGCCATCTGTAAGTTATGAAAACCCTAAATTTTTCAATTAGATTTTTCAAATTAGGCCTTTCATTGACATTCCCATGTTAAAAACTTCCACCTCACCCTCCTTTATAAGAGGTTACGGAAATCTTGGTAATGGTATCTCATGATCCACTATAATTGCAAATTGTATTGAAAAAAAAAAGGTGCTGTCATATATTGAATTTGACTTCACTGCACACACAGAATACCCAACCCACCTTTTGATATTTCTAAACTAGTAACTGTTTGCCACTTGTTAATGGCAACAAACCAAGAATTCCTTTGGCGGCGGCAACTGAGATCAACAACAAGGTGTTCTTTGCCAATTAAACCGCTTAACTGTTGGAGTCTTTCCATAGAGAATTCACCAGAAGGAAACAACCAGGATGTGACAATGACCTGAAATAATAATGTAAAGCTAAGAAGTAACATCAACTGCAATTACTTTTTAGAGTAGTTTTCAATCCAAGTGTTCCGTTACCTTGGCAGCTCCTTTATCTAGCCATGACTGTGCAATGTCAATGGTAATACCTCCTCCAACCTGAAGACCACCAGGCCAGGCTGCTAATGCTTCCTCTGCAGCAGTATCATTACCAGGACCCAGTTTGATCACATGACCTCCAGTTAGGTTGTCTTTATGGTACAGTGATGCAAAGTAACTTGGCTTGTGACTGTAAAATATGCAATGCATATGTCAAATCTGTAAAAATCTACTAACTGTAACTACTATAACACAAAGGTCTTATCTAGAGGGTTCCCAGCCACATTAGAACTAGATAGACAGACAGACAGATAGACAGACAGACAGACTGATAGATAGATAGACAGATAGACAGACAGACAGACTGATAGATAGATAGACAGACAGACAGATAGACAGATAGATAGACAGACAGATAGACAGACAGGTAGACAGACAGGTAGATAGACAGACAGATAGACAGATAGATAGACAGACAGATAGACAGACAGATAGACAGACAGATAGACAGACAGGTAGATAGATAGACAGATAGATAGACAGACAGACAGATAGACAGACAGATAGATAGACAGACAGATAGATAGACAGACAGATAGACAGACAGATAGA